TTTACAATGAATGATTAGAAATTTTTACCAGTGTGCAGTATGAAGGATGTCTCCAAGGCTTTACACCTGAGATGAGAAATCTGAAGCAGAGACCTCAGTTCTTCCTAATTAAATTCCAAGTGTGAAACTTACCCTGGAGTTTGCTTTGTATCAGCTAAACTAGTTGGCAACTTAACAATCAAGTCAATGAATTATGTAAATCTTTTCTATCAACAGATCAGTAATAAAGATGATCTTTAATTGGAAATTCACAATATCATTACTGTGTACAACTTCAGAGACATTTACTATTTGTCGTAAAACAACTTTGCACGGTTGCCAGATCTAAATGCGGTAGGAAAGCTTCAGAAGAAGGGATCCTTCTTTCAGAGAAATCGGAGATCCTTGGTCTTAATTAGAGTTTCAAAGCTGTAAAAACATCAGCTTGCATGTTCATATTTACTTGCAAGAGAAAGCATCATGAACTCTCTTAAGTTGCATTAGCAGTTAGGGATAAAAAAAGTACCATGATTGTTTGAATTTTTTTTATTTAGTTCAACTTTCCATTCATTGAGACACACACTGTTGAAGAAGTAAAAGTTTACCCCAGGAATAAAACCAGGGCACACAATCCGGAGGAGGAGGATCAACCGCAGGAAACTGCTTCAGAAACCAGTTTCCCTTGGAATGTAGATGGTGATTTAATGGAAGTCACATCAGAGGTTCACGTTAAGTAAGTCCAATTACTTCACTGCTTTCTATGTCCACCAGAGACACTAAATAGTATAATGAAAACCTTTCTGTAACTATCAAAGCGAGATGTATATATTTTTGTTTTTCTAGTTCCATATATATATTTTTATTTTTTTATTGTTGTTCAAGTACAGTTGTCTTCATTTACTTCAACCACTCCCTCCACCCCACCTACCCCCATTTTCCACCCTCAATACTACCCCCCCTTTGGCTTTGTCCATGGGTCTTTTATACATGTTCCTTGGAGACTCTTCCCCCATTAACCCTTTTCCTTCCCCTCTGGTTACTGTATGTTCTTTATTTCCATGTCGATGGTTCTTTTTTGCTCACTTGTTTCTTTTGCTGATTAGGTTCCACTGATAGGTGAGATCACATGGTATTTGTTTTTCACCACCAGGCTTATTTCCCTTAGCATAATGCTCTCCAGTTCCATCCATGCTGTCATGAAGGGTAGGAGCTCCTTTCTTTCTGCTGTGTAATGTTCCATTGTGTAAATGTACCATAATTTTTTGATCCACTCATTTACTGATGGGCACTTAGGTTGTTTCAGCACTTGGCTATTGTAACTTGTGCTGCTATGAACACTGGGGTGCATAGGTTATTTTGAATTGGTGTTTCAGGGTTCTTAGGATATAATACCAGCAGTGGAATTGCTGTGTCAAAAGGCAGTTCCATTTTTTGTTTTCTGAGGAAATTCCATACTGTTTTCCATAGTGGCTGCACCAGTCTGCATTCCCACCAAGAATGTACTAGGGTTCCCTTTTCTCCACAACCTCGCCAGCGCTTGTTTGTTGATCTGTTTATGATGGCCTAGACGTATATATATATATTTTTAAATTAACAAATCAGGGAAGGAAAAACAGATAAATGTACAATTTTAATAAAGTATGACTTTATATTTATGCATCAGTTGTTATGGAGAATCAAAGAATTTTCCTTGGTTATAAGTCTCTACACTGGCATTCAGAACTATTTTTAAATATTTTATTTATGCTATTACAGTTGTCCCGACTTTTCCCCTTTGACCCTCTCCACCAGCCCATCAACTACGCCTCCAGTCAATCACCATACTGTTGTCCATGTCCGTGGGCCATGCGTGGACATCTGTTCTTTGACTAATCCCTTCCCCTTCTTTCAACCAGTCCCTGCCTCCCACATCCCCTCTGGCAGCTGGCAGCCTGTTCCATGTTTCTTTGCCTCTGAGTCTATTTTGCTGATTAGTTATTTTGTTCATTAAATTCTACTTATAAATGAGATCATATGGTATTCTGTCTCTGACTGGCTTATTTCACTATAGCCATAATCATCTCCAGGTCCATCCGTGCTGTCACAAAGGGTAAGAATTCCTTCTTTTTTAGAGCTGCATAGTATCCCATTGTATAAATGTACCACAGCTTTTTTATCCACTCATCTACTGATGGGCACTTAGGCTGTTTCCAAATATTGGCTCCTGTACAATAAGTAATACTGCTATAAAATATAAGGGTGCATATATTCTTTTGAATCAGTGTTTTGGGATCCTTAGGATATATTCCCAGAAGTGGAACTGTTGGGTCAAAAGGCAGTTCCCATTTTAATTTTTTTTTCCAGAAAACTCTACACTGTATTCCACAGTGGCTGCACCAGTCTGAATTCCCACCAACAGTTCACTAGGTCCCCTTTTCACAATATCCTCACCAGCACTTCTTGTTTGTTGATTAATGATAGCCAGTTTGGCAGGTGTGATGTGGTATCTCATTGTAGTTTTAGTTTGCATCTCTCTGATGGCTAGTGATGTTGAGCATTTTTTCATGTGTCTCTGGGCCCTGTGTGTGTCATTCTTGGAGAAATATCTGTTCATGTCCTTTGCCCATTTTTTAATTGGATTGTTTGTCTTCCTGGTTTTGAGTTGTATGAGTTATGTATTTTGGAAATTAAACCTTTATCTGGTGTGTCACTGGCAAATATCTTCTCCCATACATTGGGTCCCCTTTTTATTTTAAGATGGTTCCTTTAGCCATGTAGGAGCTTTTTAATTTGATGTAGTACCATTTGTTTATTTTTCCTTTATTTCCCTTGCCCTAGGAAATATACTGACAAATATATTGCTACATGAGATAATCTGAAATTTTACTGCCTATGTTTTTTCCTCTAGGATTTTTCAGGTATCACAATTTATATTTAAGTCTTATCTATCTTGTTTATTCTGATGTAAGTTGGTGGTCTAGTTTCATTTTTTTTCAAGTACTAACCCAGTTCTTCCTACACCATTTATTGAAGAGATTGTTTAGTCCATTGTATGCTGCTGCCCCCTTTGTAAAATATTAATTGACCATAAAGGCATGGGTTTATTTCTGGGCTGTCTGTTCTGTTCCATTGATCTATGTGTCTGTTATTATGCCAGTACCAGACTGCTTTAATTATAGTGGCCTTGTAGTAGAGTTTGATATCAGGTATTGAGATGTTCCAACTTTCTTCTTCTTTCTCAGGATTGCTGAGTCTACTTGGCAGGGGCAGGGGTGGTTTTTGGTTCCATATAAATTTTGGGGATGTTTGTTCTAGATCTGTGAAATAGGCCATTGGTATTTTAATAGGAATTGCATTGAATCTGTAGATCACTTTGGGTAGTAGGGACATTTTTGAATTATTTTTAATAAACTATACAGATAATACATGTCTATAATTTCCATTTTCAATTTCAAAAAATGAGCCAAAAGTTTAAATGCTGTGACACCATCTGAGTAGCAGATTGTTACAATTTAATCAGTCTTTTGAAATGTCCTTTCACCAATTATTAATACTGTAACAGTTTTATGTTCAGCAGTTCATTTTTACTTTACATAGGAAGAATTTTACATATCATTTTAGTAAGTAACAATCACAATTGGTATAGAAAGATTTAAGAACATGCAAAGTCATTCTTGGTAAGCTTTATGACTCAACAGGTAGTGTGCAGGGGCACCCTGAGTAGCCCACTAGATGTGAGCTTTCTGTAGGCACAATTGACTGGCTTTCACAGAAAAATGGAGGATATTAGTCAAGGAAATCAGTTAAGAAGGCTTTAGAGTGGTTTCTGTGCTGATGTGGCACCCTGCCTCAGGTTTTCTAGATTTATAGCTTTGCAATGAATATGATGTTTGTCAGCTCTCATTAGATTTGTGTTTGGTATTATGCCCCATACTCAATTGTGTGTATGTGAAAAATAACAGAATGAGAGGTTGATAAAATAATTTACAATGACATATATTTTATTCCTTATAGATTGCACCCAAGACTTATTGATCTTTATGGAGAAAGCACAGAAGAAATGAATGATGCCAAAGTAACATGTAATTGTTTATAACAGTAATGTATGAACTAGAATTTTAATATGAAGGGATATGGTCATGTTTTAAACAGATTATCCTAAGAGGGGAAAAAAACTCTTATTTTTTAAAGAAATTAGTTATTTTTGATGTTACTAAAAAGAACCCTTTCTCTTTTTTTAAGTTGTTATGGTACCAATTTTGTGAATATTCTCTTCAAGTTGACAACTTCATTTTTCTTAAAGTGGTAGGGTTTTAAAATTCATAATACAGGTAACATTAAAGTTTAAACTATGCAGAATATCTAACTGGGCAGAATGTGGCCCAGTAGGGAGCTGTGCCGTTTCCCGTGCTCCTGAAAGCAATGTCTTCGGGCAGTGGTGAAAACACATGGTTTTCAGTGGATTTGGTGATACCTGAAATGCTGTCATTCCTGAATAGAAGACAGCCAAATTTAAATTTCCTCAGGTATTGTCCTTGAGAGTGAAATTCTGAATTTGGGTTTGATTTTCTGCTACTGAGTCTAGACATCCTCCTGAACTACTTGGCTTTCTATAGTGGAAAAAAAATGGTAGCTTCTGATAAAAAACGTATACTTTAAAATATTCCATAAATGTAATTCATTTCTACAGCACACAGACTTCAGGAGGTTTCACACCTGTTGTGATGACTGGGCTTTCCCGTCAACAGCCTTTACAAGTCTGTCTGCCAGTCACAGACTGGCAATGGATATTTTATAAAGACTAGGCAGTCTGAGGAAGTCAGCTGTTGGCAGGGACTTCATATACATATAAAGAAATAGTTCTCATGCCCTGGCTGGCGTAGCTCAGTGGATTGAGCGTGGGCTGGGAACCAAAGTGTCCCAGGTTCGATTCCCAGCCAGGGTACATTCCTGGGTTGCAGGCCATAACCCCCAGCAACCGCACATTGATGTTTCTCTCTCTCTCTCCCTTCCCTCCCTAAAAATAAATAAATAAAATCTTGAAAAAAAAAAAAAGAAAAAAAAGAAATAGTTCTCATAATAGTAAGACCGACCTCTAATTTATTTGATCACATCCTATAAGATTTTAAAAATTTGGTCACAAACTTCGTATACATATAATTATAGGAAGCTTCCGCTGAAATAATTATATATTCCTATAATTATAGGAAGTTCAGATGAAATTATATTCTAGTCAGCATCTAGCTCATATGCATGAATAAATATTACAGAAAGATTATATTTGCGAATGTAAAGGACTTTAAAGAGAAATTATTTAAAATATTTACCACTAAAGCACATATCATGGAAATTTTGATGTTACTTTGATAGTCACTGGATACAAACTAAACCTGTGTTAAATTTCTGGATTTTGTTCCCCCAATTCCATGCAGAAGAGAATGCTCTTATACAACTGATGAAAACACATGTGATATTTACTTATACTTGAATAAAGAGTAATATCAGTATTTTAGAGTGTATTTGTATGAAATATTTCCCCTTACTCCTGCAGAGCTTTGGTTTAAAAAAATGTGTGAGGTATAGTTTTTATATTTTACATTATCAGTGTATTTATACTTCAAATATCATCTATCATCTAAAGTGCAACCATCACCATCTCTTTCAGAATATAAATTAGAATTCGTAAGTACTGCGGTTTTTATAAACAAAAAATTTGACTAATGATGGATTTTTAATTTACTCCGGGTGCCCTTGGAAAAACTGTTACAGGAGAACGCATGAATTTGTGTCCGTATAAATATACAGTCTTTTAAAGTTAGGTATATACAGAAAGAAGAAAGAAATCCATAGCTGTATAAACAGTAATTATCCATAGCTCTATAAACAATTATCCAAAAGTCACCCAATTCAGCTCAAACCAGTGTATAAAAGTTCAGTCTGAAGTCGGCTCTTTGGGCCCAGAACAATCAGAGTGCTGAGTGGTTGTGGATCAAAGCTCATAGGAAATGTATTACAAAGGTCTTAAAGGCGAAATATGCTTTAAAATGACAATGACTCTTGTTCATTAGGAAATTCAGAAACAGCTCTTTGAAAAATTCTATTTTTAAAGAACATATTTCAAATGAGTCCCAAAGATCTGTTAGAAATGAATTATTACCTATTCCTTTAAAGGTATAGTTCAAGTCCAAGATTTCTCCAGTTGTGTTTATGTCCTCAATATGATTTAATTCAGATGTACTTTCATTTCCTGATATCTTCAAAGGATTATCTTGAATAAATTGAATGTTTTAGTGTTTTTGCTGTCTTTAAGAGCTGATAGAATATCATTTCTTGGATTTTTCATTTGCCTTAAGACGTAGTATGTCACAAGGTTATGAGTAAAAGAAGTGCTTGAAAGACCACTGAGCAAAGTTCATGGTTTCTTGTAAACAATGTCTTAAATATCTTTATTATACCTGAGTCTTATTCTCCAATTTGAAAGAAGTCTTTAATCATCATCATCATCACCACCACCACCACCACCATCATTGCTTTTACTGTTAATGTAATTCCAACTGTGTCTTCTGTTTTCTTCTTGTAGGATGGATTTGTACTCTCTCTTAAAGAAGCCAACCTGAAAAACCCATTGCACAATCACTAGTTTGTAGTCATTACACTTATACAAAATGTCTGAACAGTCAATGCCAATAAATCCTTACTTAACATCGCTGGTCATTTCAATTAAAATCATAGCACCTATGTATTTGAAAACTGGGTTTATCACAGGCTAATTGATATAAACAAGAGTTAAGTTCCTAACATTAAGACAAAATAAATTTGAATGAAATAACATCATTTTAGGACCTGCTGTGTTTCTTCAACTGTGTCCCATGTAGTCAGTAAAACTTGTTTGGAAAATACTGGGTTCAAGAGTGTTTTGTTTTGTGTTTTTTTTTTATTGCTGCAGGAGTTAATGATACATGTGTAAACTCTCTAAAATTGACATTTGGCATAATGTGCAGTGTTTCTGAAATGCTTTTTTGAAACCGAGTTAACTTGAAGAAGGCATACTTTTCTAGAAGGACTTTGGTACTACAGGTTAGGAGAAATAAGATGTGATCAATTACTGTGTATTCACGTGGGGCTGTTGGCTTTGAGGAAATCAAGGATGGCATTTTGAGTGGTTTAACATTAGTAATTATTAGAGAAAGGCTTACCTTCCACATAACATATGAAATCAATAAAAGTAAAATAAGTCCAATCAGCAAGCTAATTGAAATAGTCGCTATAGTGAAATGGCGTTTGGGTCTTTGATGATGTAATCCTTCCAACAGAACCTACATAAATCAACCAAAATAGAGGATCACCAGTTTTAAATTTGCTATTTTTTTTAATTTTACTTATTTATTTTTAGAGAGGGAAGGGAGAGAGAAACATCAATGTGCGGTTGCTGGGGGTCATGGCCTGCAACCCAGGTATGTACCCTGACTGGGAATCGAACCTGCGATACTTTGGTTCGCAGCCCGCACTCAATCCACTGAGCTACGCCAGCCAGGGCTGCTCTTATTTCTTTTGAAGCCCCGCCCCCCCACCCCCACCAATCCCCAACAGTACTTATAACAACCCATCCTGTTCTCTTGCTGGTTTGACGTAACCACAGGAAACAACAGCAGCTGTTTAGCAGAAACACTGGGCATAATGGACTTTTTCTGTACTTCTTCCTCCAATCATCCATCCTGCCACATTCACCTCCTAAACACTGTCGGTCATCCCCTCCTTCCAGCTGTGGAAAATACCAATTCTAAGCATTTTAAACCCTCCATGATCTAGTCAAAATCTGGTTTCCTGACTAAACACCCTAGCCATACTATTTTCCCTACATTCTTAATGTTTCAGTTTAAAAAGGTGATCTTACATGTGCAACATTCTCATTGTTGTGTAGTTCAGTAACTTTTGGATTTGGCTCTGGAAAAGCTTTCGCTCTTATTTCAAACTTGAGTGCTGAAGTCTCATCCTGTTTAATAAAAGAAACATCACTGTAGCCTGATGCACAGTTATTTTTTTTAATTTTTTAAATTTTATTTAAATTGTTGCAGTACAATTTTCTATCTTTCACTCCCATCCCATCCCAACCCACCCACCCACCCCTCCCCTCCTCCCTCCCATTTCCACCCACCCCTAGTTCTTATCCATGTGTCCTTATACTTGTTCCTGTAAACCCTACCCCTTTCCCCCTGAAATTCAGTTATTTTTTAAATGAAGACATGTATTAACAGAACTATTTTCTCATGATCCTTACCGACTGTCTAGAAGTTTTCACAATTTATTTTCCCCAATTTATTTCACCATTTGTAATTAATTGCAATGCAGTGCGTCCTTTGGTTCTAAAGGCATGGTCTTGGTATTAATTTATGTGGTATCATTTTGTTGAAGTCCTTTTATTAAACATAGCTACTTCAAGATAACTTGATTTAATTATTATTTGCTTGTTACCAGTGTATTTTCCCTTGAGTATTGAATTATTTATATCCCAGTAAGACTTTTTTCAACTGATAAACCTCTCCTAAAATTCATTTTATTTGGGCTTCTTTTTCTTCCTAAGTAGTAGTGTCATCTAGTTGCTCAGATCAAATACCTATAGTCTACTTAATATTGAAATGGAAAAACCTAGTACAAATAGTTATAGCACTGAAATATAAAAACAGTCGATGAACTCAGAGCTTTACTATCTAATGCAGAGTCTCGATAACCCGGAATCTGTGGACAGGCCCCACAGACGCTAAGGACTTTTGAAACTGTATGCAAAAATTGAGCTTTTTAAAATATGTGCATTTATTTGGGTATATGAAAATATATTCTTGAGTTGGATTCTTAAAGAGGTCTATGGCCCTGAGAAATTAAAACTACTATGTAAAGTTTACTCAATGTCTTGGAGAGAATGCAGGGCAGTGGTTTCCGACAGCATGATTTCATCCCCTCGAAGACAGTCAGCAGCATCTGGAGACACGTTTGACTCTTAGGACCTGGGAGCTGTTGCTACCAGCATCTAGTGCCTAGAGGTCAGCAAAGTTGCCAAGATGCACAGACAGCCTCTGACAACAAAGAATTATCTGGATTAAAATGCCAGTGGTGTCTTCTGTTGAAAAGCCTGTATGTCCAGGGTATGAGAAGGCAAACTGCAAAAGTCTGAGGAACTTGCTGACCCCAAGAATAGTTTTTAGCACCATTTAAACTAAAACAGGCATCTCTTATTTCACTGTCTGGTGCATCTTCCTCTTGACCACCGTGTGGTAATTTCAAATATTTCTCTTAATAAAACAGAATAACATCCCTTTTCTTTGGCTCATTACGTTCCATGCATTTGTATAGGCAGACCTTGTACAGGCGGTACTGTGGGTCTGATTCGCAATAAAGCGAATATTGCAATAAAATGAGTCATGAAGTTTTTGGTTTCCTGGTGCATATAAAAATTACATTTACACTATACTGGAGTCTATTAAGTGTTCAATAGTATTGTGTCTAGAAACAATGGACAGACCTCAAAAGATACTTTATTGCTAAAAAATGCAAAACATCATCTGCACCTATTGGAAAAATGGTACTGCTAGACTTTGCTTGACAGTGTTGCCACAAAGCCCCAGTCTCTGAAAGGAGGAGAGTTACCTGCGAAGTGCAATAAACATGGGGTGCCTGTACTGAATGCCATATGGAAAATCAAAATTATCTCATTTAATCCGAAACACTCCTACAGAAGAGCCATCAGCCCTATTATCAGATAAGGAAGCTGAAGAACAGAACTCCAAATAAAACCATTTTTATCTTAAAATACTTCTCATAAATATGTAATAATATATTCCTTTCTAGGAAGAAGTCCAAGGTGTATTTAATTATTTTTTAATTCACTCTTTCAAAGTTCATTTTCTTAAAGGTGATTTTGTTATTGTGTATTTGTGTTTTCCTGTTGATATATTTTGCTGTTTTGATTTTATGAAATACTTCTTAGCTTTATTAAATATTAGATTTTTAAGCATAATTTTAAGTAGTTTGGAAAGAACTTCAAGGTTATACGAAATGTTAAGGTAGCCAATTTCTTTGATTTAGTCAAGATCCATAAATAGTTGAACGTGCTTTCTAAAGTAAAACTCTTAATTATTCCATACTCTATTTTATAGTCTGAATGATCGGTTCAATTACTAAAACCATGCCATGGAGACAATGCATTCAGCTAAAGTTTCACTCTAAATTTTATGTTTACTAATACCTTTTTAATCTGTTGAAGGCCTCCTTACATGTCATCCTCTTTACATAATTTGCCGTGTCCACGGGCACCCCCGCACCAAAGTTGCTGCCGTGTGTTAGACTCACCATTTCTAAGAGGGCCGGCCGGCCTTCCAGCTGAATGTGAACGCTGGCTTCTTTTCCACTTTCCATCTTCCCAAAATTGCAGAAGAAATTTAAACAATGTGGATCATGTTCCACGCAGAACTTGAAAAGTACAAAAAAGCTACATCAAAATTTCAACATTTTAAAAAATGACAGCTAAAATATTTTACATGGAAAAAAAAGTCTGTTCTTAGTGGCATTTATAAAAACTACCTTGCTATAAACATGGAATTAAAGTTCTGCTTTTGTTAGTGGCATTTAAAATTCTTTACACAGAAAAATCGTTTGTTTTGTAAATTACAACAAAAACAAAGAACTTGAACTAGAGCATGTGTTTTCATTATTTTTGTGAACTTAATCTTCTGGGATAGACTTCAAAGAAAGACTCCTTAATCAGAGTCTTGCTAAGTTAGAGGTTCTGTGTTCATTGTAAAACCTGGATAGTTTGAAGGGTAACATTGCTTTCTCTATTTTATTTTATTTTCATAAATTCACTAAAATAAAGAGTCAAAATTAACCTCATTTCACAAAGCCTGCTCAGTTGAAGAGAGTCTGGAAGAATGGCTGGCAAAAAAAGTGGGCATTTGTTAGATAAATAATGAAAATGTATATATTTAACCCTAGGTCTGTATCGATTTCCAATCATGTCTCTTCCTCATGGGCTGAACTTGTTTCTCTGCTACACTCATCTGACAGCTCAAACCCATTGGTGCTTGGTTTTAAGTGTTTCAGTTCTATACATTGAAAAGCAAAAACTACCAGGAAAAAACAAAACTTACCAATAACCTCTTATCAGTCTTTGACAAGAATGTAAATATATCTGTTAGGGTCCTCATTGCACCTTTTTCCTGATCTGAGGTACACTTTCTTTGATAATTTTCAAAATGGCATTCCCCTGTAGTAGTCTATACAAGACAGCAAGAAAAATATTGTAACTCAACATTGGAGAGAACAGCAAAAGCTACATGGCTTTAAAACTTCCAATTGCTTGCTTACCTTTTCTAAAATATATCAAGTTACTTCTGAAAGTGCAAAAATATTTTCAACAGATTTGGGAAAGATAAAATCTCTGCAGCAAAAACACTAACAAAACCCCAGCAAAATTTTAGAGGGTTGGCTACAGGTCCTAAGCTAATCAAATGACCTTTACCTTATGGAAATTAGGGCAATGTGAAAAATGAACATTTGAACACCAACATGGAATTCAACATTTCTTGGGCTTTAGACACAAAACAATATAACATCATGTCCTACCATCTAAATTTAGAATTCAAGTAAGATTTTTAAAAATTAGATCTCAAACCCACTTAAGTTTATTTTATTCAATAAACTTAACTTTCAATAAAATAAACTTTCCCAGTCTGGAAACTGGGAGGGTAAAAGCAATATTTATTCTTAAGTAGTGACTTGAATATTCTTTCTTTAAACAAGGCTAAAATACTATTTTTCCCACTAGTGGTCTCAAGTTTTATAGAGATTTCTACCAATTCAATTACTTCCAGAGGTCCATATCACAAAGAAAATGTACTTAAGATAGTAGAGCATAATTCTGTTATTGTGTAAGTCAAATGCAGAGGCTCCACTGTAACCTTACAGTTCTGAAGCAGAGTATCATGCTCAAAGTTCACCCAATGCATGCAGAGTGAGTTCGTAGCTTAGAGTAAGTGTGACTGAAGTAAATTCACAGAAATCTCCATTTTACCAGTATTACTTGCAATAAACAAAGGAACACATTTTTACCTGGATATCCAAAATGTTGAACAACTTATCAGTTCGGGGGGTAAAAGAATTTGGTACCATAATTTCCATACTAATGTTTGGAGCCACGCTATGGCCACTGTTGACAACCTGATAAGGAAAAAAAATAACTTTTCAGTGTTTTCATAAATGTGAGTACAGATATAGATGAGCTTTCAGGTGAGCCCATTTCCTGCCATAGTTACGGTGTCGGAGGTTTGTTGTTGGCAGCTACACAGCGAAGGGAGATGGGATACTTAGGCTGAGAACTTAAAAAAGTTTGCTAATAATTACAATCTTTAGTCCTTATTCCCAGCTTTCTCCCTTTTATATTAATTAGACCACAATGTCCAGGCAGGTGTTTTATTGTAGAAATAGTCTAAAGAAAGAGACATCAACAATGGGTATTTGTAAGGCACATTATATATCTATAAAAGCCATGATCAGTCGGTCCTACTAACTATTCCATGAGGTGAGGTGATGTTTAATTATTTGCCAGCTCAAGAAAATGCTGAGGTATTAGTCAATATGCCTAAGATGAATGTTAAAAAGTAACAAGAACTGGGACCAAAACCCAGGTCTCCTTATTCTAAACCCTGTGATATTTTCACAAAATCCCTCTCTGCAGAGGGGATAATGGCAATAAGTGAATCAAATATATTTTAACTCAGGGTAATTATAATGTTGATGCACTCAGAAAATCAGAAAGGTTTAATTTATTGGGTTTAAAAAAAATACAACAGATTTTTAAAAAATAATGCAAAAAGGAATGATATGCCATTGCTACTGATAAATTTGGGGATTGCAGAACCCTGTAAAGGGAAAGTAAGTCAAAATATTGCCTCCTGAGAGCTTCACTATAAAACCAATACAATAAATTAGAAAAGCAATGTGCCACAACCCCTGAATGAAACAGTACGACTCACAGACTTGCAATGACCTTTTGAATGCACAAGATAAAGAAGAAGAAAGGGTGTTCCTAGCTCTGGGGCAGGTGGTGATTGCTAGGCCATGCACGCACAGGGCATTGCAAAGGCAGTGTCCGCAATGGGTGAGCAGCAGAGTCCAGACCTTCAGACAAGGCCTTCCTGAGGTCTGCAGTCATTCTACCTGACAACATTTTCCATGCTTGTTTGCCTAGTCACGTCCAGACCTCCAAGAACACATTCATACATACTTGAACAGACTCACCAAACCTATAGACCGAAAGTATGTCCAGTTCCAGTCACACCACTGTGACTTAGAAAATATTCAACTACTAATTACAAATTAATAACGCCTTCTAGAGTCCATCCAGGTTCTAACAGGACCATTTCACAAATGTTTCTTACGTGGAAAGTGAAGTTCACTTTCTCTGCCATACACGTTTCAGGCTCAGAGTCCTCATTTGATCCATACACAAATGAAGTTGGGTTTACAAGCCTGACAGAAACAAAGTCAAATTTAAGTCAGTCTTTTTTTCAGCATTACAATCTCATTCATTTATTTACAAAGTGCATACTGGGCACATGCCAGGTGCCAGGTTGTCCAAGGTGCAAGGATGCCTGTAATTGTAAGACATGCTGCCCCCCGAGGTTTGCACAGCTTGCTTGAACTTGTCTAACTGTCCTGTTTGACGAGGTGGTATAAGCAGTCTTTCTCTATAGTCTGGATTATAGCATATCCATTAAGTACATCTTAAATATGCTGTAATTCAGACTGTAGGTGCCCCCTTAAGCACAATAAAATTCTTTTGGTTTTTGGTAAGATAATAATTTTAGTAAAAATGTAATAAAATTAAAACCGTGTACTGACTTGAGTGATAGTATCTTCCCACCAATGTTCTTTGTTTGCCTCCCCAATGCCGCCTGGTTCATTCTATTGATTTATGTAAATCTGGCAAATATGAGATCAATTCTTAGCTTTTTCTAGGACTCCAATATCCCCCTCTACACTTCAATCTACCTTACTTATTTTTGAGTTTTTTCTTCCCATCCATCAATTCCTGCTGCTACTGTAATGACCCCCAGATCTGGGGAACAATTCAAACACCAGTAAGTATGGTAAAGTTTTTGTTCAAGTACAGAGTTGTTGCTCTTTCCCCTGTAATCATACATATGTAGGGTCAGTAGTGAACTTCAAGAAATACTTTTCTGGGGAAACCCTGACTTCACCAGCTGCTCATATTTGGCAGCTGATATGAGGTAATACAAATTAGGTAACCCAACACACAGGAAGGAAATTAGAATATTCAAATATAGATTAGGCAGCTTAATCACTATAGACTAGTCCTTGCTCAAAATAGTAAGATGTGGATAATGAAAAAAAGGGAGGATAATCATTATAGGAAAATCAAGGAGGACCACATTTAAAACCAGAAAACATGCAATTAGTTTTCTTTACCTCCCACTGACTTTTTATTAGGTCCTCATTGCTCTTGAATGGCCACCTTTATCCCTGGCTTAATTCTCACAAATTTGATACTCAATGCCATTAGCTTTAGACACTGATATTTTATTTTTATATATTATATGCCATCTTTATGGATGGTTAAAAGTGACTGAGGATGGTTTATACTTAGAGATACATGAAAAGGTCATTTGCCTATTCTGTATTTATCTTCAATTGCTTTAAAAATGTGTTTTTCAACAAAGATCAATAGCTTAAATAATTTTCAATAAAATCATGAAAGGTTTTCTTAATACTTTTTTCATTCTTTCTCCACAAATGTGCTCCCTGAATTAGAGTCAGAACCTCATAAACAATTACTAAATTACGAGGAATCAGCGAATACTGGCTCTCGGGCTGTGGATGAGAAACTAATTCACGGGTATAAAGAGCGGAAAAGGGACGCCCTGCAGCCAGTTCTCACACAGCTGAGTCCTTCTGCCACATAGGCAGACACAGGTTCTAGAGTGCAGTGATTTGGTCAAGCTTGTAATTCTTTAAACTTCACACTTGCAACAGCCATCGAGTCTAATCAAGCACACTGTGCACTGCCCAACTCCCGGGGTCCTGGCCTGCGCTGCTTGCAACTGGAAGGCTAGGCATGACCCACTGAAGGATTATCAGGCTTTTCCCATACAACATCTCCTCCTGGTGGGCACTAGTTTGATGTGGTCTCCATGACAATTACGGAATGGATTAGAATAATGAACAGCTGGGCAAGGGACCACAATGCTGAGGTCATTGTTGAGAGAGAGAAACAGTACCAAATCTTAAAAACATTTTTTTAAAAAATACGGCTTTGACTAACAATGTACACAGCAATAGATTTATAATCAGCCCTCAGCTTTAGAGGAGGCATCAAAATCTACTTACCCATGAGCATTTAGCATGATGTCATACCTCAGAGGTATGGCCAAAGTCACTTTGTTACCTTTCCGATGGCCCATTTGCCCTTCATTTTCACTACAGAAGCAAAGAGAAAACACCCTGTTAGAACCCATCAGGCACAAAAGTCATCTTCAGAGAGAACTAATTATATACCACATATACCTGACATACTCAATGGTTGGTTCAAATAATGCTTTTTGGGGCATGGGGATAAAAGTGGCTATGACAGTAAGAAATTTTTATGACAGGGTTGGTAGAAATTTACTCTTGTTATTTACACTGTTACTTTCCTCTATGCTGGTTAAAGGGTTTCTGTTTTTGTCAGATGACATAAGAGAAGCTTTCTCCTGAAGACAATGGAACAGAACTCCATGGTTCCCCTAAGGTCCCCTCCAAAAAGTCAGGGGTCTATTTCCTCTAGTACATGATTTTTTCCACAGTGAAATGTACCAGGTGGCATGCACTGTGATGTTGAGGTCCTCTTCTGCTCTGCTGAGGGAGCTTGCATCCAGGAGAAAGGTAACATTTACCTGTAGAACACAGAGAAGGAAAGCTCATTAAAAAATAATTTAAAATGCATTTTTTATCATCTGAATTTTAATTTTTTAATAGTTTATACCCTGAGGAATGCAGATTTGAAACTATGTTCTGGAACATAAGCTGCCCTTCACTCGGGCAGGGAGCTACAGGGAAGCTGTTGGGTTTGTAGCAATTCTAAAGCACCAGAATTTCCACAAGTGCCATTCAGAGACAAAGCCTCCTCTGAATGTCGACAGCCAGGTCCAGACTGACAAAATTAGAGATGCTTTAACAACTTGAGTGAGGACTCTTGCCAGAAACACCTTTTTGTATAGCAGAGGTAACATGCCTGGCAAATAGGACCACCTGGGGTGGGGTGGTTGGGGTGAGGGGAGTGTTGGGGAAGGGTGAGAGCAGAATTCTGATTGACACATTCATGTGCCCATCTTGACATAAATATGTGGCCCCCCTTCTACAGTGAACATTGCCAAGAATATAAATACAATCTCAAAGATCTCAAGCCAAGTTGGTTTGGGTTTTATTTTATCACTTAGCTATTTACTCCTAGCAAAACATAATAATAATGAATTATGTATTTGTGTGCAGAGTAAACAAAGGAAAAATAGAAAAATTTTATATTCATGCTAGTAAACAAAAATTATAAATGCTAAATGCTTACCCTTGAGAGACGATCTACATATATATAACCGACATTGCAGTCCAGTTTTACTGTGCCAGAGCTGTCTGTTACTTCACAGTGTATTTGCTGCTCTTCCTAAAACATTTTAAAAATAAACAAGCAAAAAGGTTTAGGTAGAAAAGGAAACAAGAAGTTTGTAACCCATATTTAAGGATGGCTTTTGAAAAAACAAAACAAAACATCATCCCTGAAGAATTTGCTTTCCTAGAAAACTATTTTTGGAGTAAATAGAAATATAAATGAATGATATAAAAATGTATATAACTATACAGGCATATTCTAACATTCATGTAAATTCTCCACAGAATAATTTCTGGGCTTGCACCTTTTGTCCATGTTTGTGTATCCCCCAATTTAATTCAAGACCCAGTTCCTTACAAAATCATGAGGCAAGGAATTCATAACATCTATGTCTCACATCCCTCTTCTGTGTGGGATGTGAGAATGTGTGTCAGGTATATATTTGCAATAACTGGAATCACAATAGTATACACATACATGTATTCAAATATTTCAGGGAAATAAACAGCTTTATGTGTATTTGTATAGATATGGATTTTCTTGAATATTTGAGTTTTCCCTCTCACTATTTCAAATAGGCTTTTAAAACTCACAGGGGTGTCCAGCCCATGGCCTGCAGGCTGAATGAGACCCAGGATGGCTATTAATATGGCCCAACACAAAATCGTAAATTTACTTAAAATTTTTTTTTGCTCATCGGTTTTTGTTAGTGTTTGTATATTTAATGTGTGGCCTAGAGACACCAAAAAGTTGGACACTCCTGCTAGAGAAAGAAGGTACTGAAGTTTTGTGAGAGGTCAAAGACCCTTCATGTGAGGAAATGGTCTCTGGATGAGACCTGGGTAAATTTGCTAAGAAACAGAGAAGCATCAAAGGAGAAAGCAATTGAGGTTTTTGCCTTTGCAATTCAACTTTATCACTACCCTGCTGGTGGATTTAAGTGCTCATGATGGAGACACAGTGGTAAGAAAAGGTCTCCAAGTCCCTCAAACCCTTCCAGGGAAGGAGAAACTTGCCTACAGTCTGGTTGGCACCAGCATTTTGGGTCTGTGGACTGCTGGTTCTAGCATGTTGGAGGTCCTTTGGGAACAGGACTGGGTATATGAACTTCAAATGCAGAGTGGTAACTCTGGGAGCCCAGCAGGGAGAACCGATAACTGCTTGTGCAGGAACCTGACCAAAAGGAGCGGCCTCAAGCACCAGAAAGAGGTACCAGTGAGAAAAGCAATCGCACCCAAGCAGCTTGCATGAATAACTGGACAATTATTTCTTATAAGTGGGAAGCTGACTCTTTTGATCTCGGTCAGATCCTTAGGAACTTGTCATTTCAGTTAGGAGCATGGAAAGAGTCTTAAAATCACCTCAGATATTTAGACCTCAAATTGATGAAGTGAATTATACCATTTACATTTTTTAGAAATTAAGTAAAACATTATGTAGCATTATGCCGCATGGTTTTCAGTACTTACCAGGTCTAAAATCTTAATGAAGTAAAGACCAGTGGGCAGTCTGACATGCAGGGTGGTTTCATATGCATCGTCTCCAGCATTAAACAGGGACACATTCAGCGTTAACGTCTTCATGCTTCCAACAGCGAGGTAGGTTTTATTCTCATGTGGCCTAAAATTAAGTAATATTCCTTAGTTCTTAATTTGGAAGCAAAAATCCCCTCTCTTCATTTATTTATCTCAAACATAAAAATATTAATTTGAAGAAAAAACAACCAGAGGGAAAGGACCACATGAAAGTAGATGCAAATCTATTTTTAAAAGAGCTCCATTCCCCATATTTCAGATAAATTTGGTCAGCTATTAACCCGAGAAAAGATTAAGTAGTTATAATTAGACTACCCTGCTTTCTGTTATACTCCTTTTCTGATTCTTGCTTCTATAATTTTAACATTTTCCTCATTATTTTGCAATTTTTATTTCAAATTACTTTATTATTTTTTAATTTTTAATAGTTTTATCATTCAAGTACAGTTGTCTCCATTTTTTCCCCACCACTGCCCCACCCCCAGTCACCCCCAGCTCCCACCCTTGATCCTACCCCCCTTTGGTTTTGTCCATGTGTTCTTTATACATGTCCCTGACAGCCTTTCCCCCTTTCTTTCTTTTTCTTTGTGTTTGAATAGACATCGAACTGCCTGCTGCCCAAACCATAGGGGGACAATGTGGGGAACTGGAAGAAAAGGGGAACCGAGAGTATTTCCACCAAATAGATGTTTTGATGGAAGTGAGTGTGACTATCCCCAGCAAGTGAATCCGACTAAAATCTGTTCATGTAGAATTCATTTCTTAGGACAGGCTGGTCACCTCTATCAATGATGAGACCAAATTAACAGATTGAAGAGATGCTTCACTGCGCTGGGAACTGGAGAGAGAAGACTGCTGCAAATCTAGACATCTGTGTCCTACCAAGTTCTGGCTCTGGCCCCAGCTCTCCTGGGCAAAGGGCTTACTTAACATTGCTAAGCCTCAGTCACCTCATCTGTAGTAATAACTACTATTCAGTGAAGATTTGGGTCATGTCATTCCATGGAATCCTCAGAACAACACATTCATATATGAGGAACCTGAGGCTTAAAAAACTTATTCAAGGTCCCTCACAACTAAAATGTTCTGAAGTCTCAAAGCAAATGCACAAGGATGAATTCCTTAAAATTTCTTTTGGCTCATTTTTGCAACCAGCTTAAATTATACTAACAAACTTTCTTTAAACAACAGTATTGATATAAAGAACTATATATATTTAAATAACCCAAAATAAAGAAGTATGACAGAATTGTCATATAAAAAGCAAGCAGACCACAAAGTAGGGGTTCACATACTGCTGCCTGAAGGCCCAGTTCGGACCTCTGCCTGGTTTTGTAAATAAAGATTTAATGGAACGCAGCCACGCTCCTTCATCTGTGGTCGCTTTTACATATGGACACCAGAGAGCTGAGTAGCTGAGAGAGATGGCTGCTCCACAAAGCCTGAAATATTTACTATCTCTTCCTTTATGGACAAAGTTTGCCAGCTTCTGCCATAGAGCAATCTGATGACTAAGTTTAATCGGTTTCAAAATAAGCATACAAAATAATATTACTCTATTTAAAATCTATTAGTCTACTTCAAACAGCGTAGGATACACAAATACAGAAAATGATTCTCCTGTCATCATAACCCCTTGCTCGGTGCCTGAGACATCAAGGAGAAAGAAATGAAGAACGTGTCCACATGTACCCCCTCTGGTGTCTGATCCCTGGGTTTGAGAAGTTGGATGTTTCAGGAAGGATATGTAATAACTAACAAAGCAGTCACTCAACCATGGCCATCATTTTAGGGTGGAAAATTTGATCCAGCTTTAGGGAAAGGCTGTGATGTACTCATTCCTGTGTTGTAAAGCTCTGTGTCACAGAAGTACGCACCTGCTCAGTGGCACCATGTGAGACGCAGAAAAGAAATGTGCAGGAACACAGCCATCCTGTGTTCCCCCTACTGTTCCATAATCATGTTACAACGAAAGGAGCCTAGGAGGTTCTAAAAGTAAACTTCAGCTTGACATTAAAGCTTAATTAAGACTTGTAGAAGAGCTGCCTAGAAATAGACATTTATAAAATATTCTGGCATGTAACCAAAGCATTAGTCACTGAACACCTTTGGGAAAGAAGCTGGCACTTAGACAAGCAACAGAAGGTGAAAGCATCGTATAAACAGCCAGGTTCCAAGACAACAGCAAATTAAAGCGAAACACAATGTTCACATTTCAGCAGCTAGGCTCCTGGTTTATTTTCCATTTTTAACCTACTTTGCCACATAATCATAATTACAATTCTCCTCTTCTAAAAAATACATACATCTTACTCTATCTTGATTCATTAACGGGGTGCCACCAGAGAGATGCCCACCAGCTTGTTGTGCGAGATGCAACAAAGGATTAGGTGCACATCTGGAAGCGCAACGAGGCTGGACCAGCACTTTCCCCAGAATCACAGTTCATTCTTCATTAAAGCATGCACAATGCAGACTTGACATTTACAAAACAGCCTGGAATCCATGTAATTTAGACAACTCGAGGTACTGGGCACATACGAAATCACAACTTAATAAGTGAAAGAGGAAAAAAATAGAAAAATTATGTATTTTTGCACCATGGCTCTGTCTTTCTTGAATGAATGCTACTGTTCTATTTTGCAAGAGATGCTCCCCAAGTCTCAGTATAACGAATGTACTTTGCCTTGATAACATGAATTAGTGCTTCCTAGCTAATTTTTTAAAAAGGTGCCAGAATAAAATATGACGTAAGCTGATAGGTACCTGTGTCAAGATATGTGAGTCACTTATTTGACAAAATGTAGCCTTCGGCAAGTGGTCTGCAAGCCCAGATCAATTATTTTTTTCCACTACTGACTTCAGGGGGAAAAATACTGGAAAATTCTCATCTATTGGAATACATCAGTTATCTGACATTTAATAAGATTTTATTGAACAAAGGCAAACTCACTGAAGTCTAGAAGGTTATAGCAGAACACGGATTGGAAGGTTGAAGTAGGAAATAGCATGTTTTAGGGTACAAGGCCTATAATTCATCTTCCCCAACCTCTGTGCCATCAGTGAGGTGCACAGAGTGGGCAAAAATAGGTTTACATTTGTGAGTACACAAAACAGAGTTAATAAAGCCACTGCAATAATTATAACCTGCATATTTAGCTACAGTTGTCCATACAGCTAAAGACGTGCAGGTTATAATTATTACAGTAGCTTTATTAACTTTGTGTTTTAAGTGCTCACAACTGTAAACCTACCTTTGCCCAGCCTGTATATCCCTACTACCTGCATTTTTAAAATGGACCATTTTGTTAGGCTAGCCCTTTTAAAGGCTAACAGTATAGTGGCCAATGCTGGCAATTGCTTGCAGTCTACCCAACAGTGATTGCCCTTTTGAGCTGCTAACAGAACCACGGACTACTGAAAGCATAGGCAGCATTCCCCTGATACTGCAGAAGACAAGGCCCTAGCTCAGGAAATGAATCCTAATTGATCTAATGTGATCATGAAGACTACATCCATTCTTCAGCCATCCTGGGTTTGGGGGTGAGTGTGTGATACAGGTCTGGTTAATCAGCATAAGTCTGCCAAGGCATTGGCCTTCCTGGAGAGGCAGCCTCAAGAGGACACAGAATTTTGCTCTTGACCCCTACCTTTTTTTTTTTTTTTTTGCTGGGAACCCTGGTGCTGCTGCAGCCATCTAGTGACCATGAGGGAAAAGCCAAAAGAACTGGAAAGATTTTGGTAGGTGCTCACTAAACCTGCTACTGCCTCCTATAGACTGCACAGTATGCCAAATAATTAAATCCTGTTATTGTTTAAGCCACTATTAGTTAGATATTCTGTTACTTGCAGTTAAAGGCATTCCTAACTTATGTGAAAACAACTGTTCAGGAGAAGCCTACATCAGCTCCTACCCTGGAAGCCTGACTGAAGAACTAGATTTCAAACTACCTGTGTAATGACTAACACTGGCTCTTATTTTTATAATCTTGATAAAGTCATATTTGTTCACCTTCATTTTGCAGTGTAAGTCCATTTGAATATGATTTATTCTCCTGAGAATTTAGACATTCAGAAGAAAACCTTGACTTAATGAAAACATGAGACAGAGTGCATAAGCACTATTTAGTTTGCTTTTGGCAGTCCATTAGATTGCAGTCTTCAGAAACTCATGTTCTTAACTGAATAAATGCATTTACCTAAAGCAGGTTTATAGCTCTCGGCACATAAATACCATTAGCTACAGCGGATTTATGGGCGAGAGAATACTAGAACATATGGTCACAATTTGCCTATATTACAGAGAAGAGAGAGGACACCTATGTGAGACAGGCATATATTTCTCCGACAGAGTATAATTTACTAAAAATGCAAAGCACTCTGTCAGAATCCTTCACTTCGGGCTGAAAAAATCGATTAGAAGAGTGCTCATTAGAGAATTCCTGAAATAAGTTACCATTTCCCAAGTAGAAATCACCTGTAACTTTCCAAACTGATGCAGAAGAGGTGGGGCTTACATTTTACACTGGCATTCATGGTGCTTCAGACCTCCTGAAACTCAGACCTGCTGGCCCGGTCATGGGCAGCAGCATTTGGGGATGTAAAGAGACAGACTCTAGACAAATAACTAGTGTACACACAGAAAATGTTTAGAATTCATTGGCGACATTTCATTTTATGGTCAAACTATAAAGGTTTTTTCTTTTACCATAATCTATAAATATCCCAACCATAATTTATCAAAATAGCAACTTTTATCAGAGCTTCATGTGTAGGTCTTGTGCTCTGCACTCGGCCTGCATTATCACATTTTATATATATATATTTTTTAATATTTTTTTTATGTTTTTAAAGATTTTATTTATTTTTTTAGAGAGGGAAGGGAGGGAGAAAGAGAGAGCGAGAGAGAGCGAGAGAGAGAGAGAGAGAGACATAAATGTGCGGTTGCTGGGGGTCATGGCCTGCATCCCAGGCATGTACCCTGACTGGGAATCGAACCTGCGACACTTTGGTTTGCAGCCCAAGCTCAATCCACTGAGCTATGCCAGCCAGGGCCACATTTTATATTTAAAATATCTTTTATAA